ACGTATGAGGTCAGCTTTGCGCATGCGCTGCTCAGAAGTGACGCACGCGGAGAGATCGAAACAAAACAACGGTCACTAATTAGAAGTACAAAACAAGGATTTGTAAAGAAGAATGTCGGAGGATTTCGATATAAGCCAAGAGGAGACTTGTTTTCCTTTGCTAAAGTAAGGAAACTTTGCTTCTTTTGATCTTGTAAACAAACGTTGGTTTTCACAAGACGCACCGGCGCATGCGCAACGCTGACCCCATACGTCATGCTCCTGGAACTGCTTCTGTGTACAACTGTTGGCGTAAGCTAGATTCAAGTGATTATTACATTTTGAATATGGATATTTTTCTTACAGAAACGCATCGATTCGCTACAGGAGGCCTTTGTTCACCCCCCGGAGCTGTGTGAGACACTTTTTTTTGTGTAAGGGTGCTTTTTATTTCACGTCTTTTGGACAGAAGGAATGCAACACCCGCTGAGTACAACGATAGAGCTTGAAAGATCAAAGACAATTTTTAATATAACTCTGACTGGATTCGTCTGAAAGAAGAAAGTCATATACACCTAGGATGCATCGGGGGTGAGTAAAACACAGCCTAATTTTTATTTTTGGGTGAACTAATCCTTTAATCTGTGTTAATGTTAGTTAATAAAAAGACATTCGTTCAGTGTTTCTTCATGTTTTGGTTGCTGTTACGTGACGTAGCGGTGTCTGACTAGGGGCGAGACGTGGGCTGATGACGTCATCGTTTCAGAAAAAATACGGATTCGCTGTCCACACAAAAACGCAAGGGTGGCGTTTTCAGATTTGTCCACTCTGGGACCCGGTTTAAAAAAATATCGGTTTCACTCTCCCAAAACGCTGGATCCGTGTGGACGAAACGCCTATACGATACAAAATGTATGTGTATACAGCTAAATGCGTTTCCGTGTGGACGGGGCCTCAGTTTTCCTAGTTTCTTTGTCCAATATCATTTATGGTTAAGTGTAGTTGACCTGTTCATTTTTCCTCTTAGTATTTCTCTTGAATTATTATCAAATGACTTTCTGCCTGCGTTCTGAATTGTTTGTGTTATACTACACGTGATAGAATACTGGACCTCCAAATCAGATTTATTTTTGCAGTTATTTTCTCCCCCACACCTATGGACCTGCCGGCCTCCAACTGCTCTGCCTTGAAATGAAGGACCGTTTACTGGTGGACTACACTCAACTCAAACTTTTTAGATCTGGTGTGGCTTAAGAACTATCCAGACCGCTCACTCTGCATTTTTTTTTTACTACACCAGCATCAGTGAGTGGTCCAAAGCATGTCTCCTGGTGGACAGTTCTTAGGAGTTTCCTCAACACCACAGTGGGGGTTCTTCCTGGCTGTACTCTGGGTCCCCTTCTGACTCTTCCTGCTCCTGGCTCCTACCTCCGTCATTGCCACCCTGGTCTCTCCACCCATTATTTTCCACGGTTTCCTGCTCTTCACAGACTCTGGGTCCTCCTCCAAAGCTCCCTCCCTCCCTTCTCAGTTTCTCTGTTCGGTATTATGATAAAGTGTAGTTGCTCTGTTCATTTTTCTCCTATGTATTTCTCTACATGTGACAGTTTGATTAGGGTTGGAGCTAAACTATGCAAGATATTTGGTCTCTAGGTTGAAGACTTCTGTATCAAAACCATAATTTTAAACATTTAAGAAGAAAATTGCAGCTATCAAACTACTATTTTTGTTTATTATTTTTTTTTCTATTACTGTATCTACACTAACACCTTTGTGGTTTAATCTTTGAGTCAAGAATAAGTCAATCCATAATCAGACAGAGAAGGACATGTGTTGGTGTCCTAAAAGTGGATCTGATAAGTGCACAGAGTACATATTGACCATTCTCGGTTGGAAGAGGTGTGCTTTTCAGAGCTAGATCCATTAACTGTGTTAATTATTCTTAACGCTTTGAACAGTCCATATTAATCACACAAAATGACGTAATATTTTTCCCATTAATGGATTCACAGTTTTGAGAGAATGAGACGAGCACATTTTAATGTGAGCGTATGAAAGCTTTTTAGATGAATGTACTGTACGAATGCACAACAAGTGTGAGAGCACTCACCAAAGACTTCAGGATTTGGTCTTTGTCCATCCAGGCAAACACAACCAAAGACACCGCTTCTCACCTGACAAGCCTCATATTCAGTGCAAGTATCACAAACTATAACAGAAAAGAAAACAATTGCACAAAAAAACATGAAAGCATTCATTGATTTGAATCTTGACCTAACCATATGTGTTAAAGTATACTAGTACATCAAAATGGCTGAAGACTGTAGCCATTGTATTTACACAATGAAAACAATATGCTAAAACAGAGAAAACAGTTTAAAGCTTACAGTTTGCCGAACCATCAACACGGAAAGACCAGCGACCATTCACATTGATATTACTGCTGTATGAGAGTTCTGGGGCACTGGCTGCTGGAATTGTGAAAGAATTGTCAGAGTCCACTGTGTCATAACCAGCCTGTAACAGTAAAGAGAAGTATTTAAAACCTCAATTACATCCTATTTCAAATAAAACCATCTCTTGCATACAAATACGGAATGAATTGGGCATAAGTAATTCCTTGTCATTCATTTCTGCTAATTGTAAACTGTAAGGATCTTCACTCCACTCACCAGCCAAACTTGTCCTGTTTGTGCAATGTCACCATAGTTGATCAGGATGAAAGAGCGGTCACCATTGGAGACTAAAACCACTTGGAAAGTAACCAACTTCAGACAACAACAACAAAAAAGATTTCAACAACAAAAATTTCAGAACAGAAAGCACACATAGAGCATTTATCAAAAATCAGAGATTAGGTCTTACCCCTTCATCACTGTAGTACGGCACACTGTCCCAGGTAGCCACAAAGGCTGATGTAGCAGTAAAAGGCACGTTAGGGAAATATTGGTTAACAGCTTGAGTGACTTGTGCCAGTACAGTGCTACTAGTATCCTCTCTATAGGAGATAGTTCCACCATTGCCATTGTTAAGGTCGGTCCACAGAGGAGCAATGATGTCTATTCCAGAGTTCAGATAAGGAACGTAGGCAGACAGTGGTTGAGTAAAAGTCAGGTGACCATTGTTGTTCACCTAAAATTCAGATGAAATTGCTGTAAAATTATCCTTTACCTCTCAAAAGTATTATTCAGTTTGCAAACAGGTTTAAAAACATCCAGTTGTTCACTTAAACATGAGAAAAGACTAAACACAGGAAAACTCAAAATGAGAAAACTAAAGAAATATAATGACGATGATAAGTAAGTGATGGAAAAGGAAAGGAAAGGACGTGTGGCCAAGTGTGGTGACCCATACTCTGAATTTTTGCTCTACAGTTCACCCATCCAAGTGGGTACCCACCCACAGCAGTGAGTAGTGAACACACACACGCACACCGTGAAAACACACGGAGCAGAGGGCAGCCATTTTTGCTGCGGCACCCAGGGAGCAGTTGGGGGTTCAGTTCCTTGCTCAAGGATCCCACCTCAGTCGTGGTATTGAAAGTGGAAGAGAGTGCTGGTCATTCACTCCCACCACCTACAATTCCTGCCAGTATCGAGACTCGAACCCACGGCCTTTGTGTTACAAGTCCGACTCTCAAACCATTAGGCCACAACTGCCCATAATAAATCAACTGATATAATAAAAAATAAAATACTATCTTCAACCAAACAGAAATAGTCCAGTGCTTACATAGATCTGATTGTACGTGCGTCCAAAGTATTTGAAAGGATGCTGCAAGTAAATGGCTTCAGAGCTTCCATCATCTGAAATGGGATTTACCACGTCTCCGTTCCCAAACGGCAGGAAATTAGCCGGCACTAGTAAAAGTAGAAGCATCAATGAATTGTTTAGATCTTCCAAAGGAACATAAGTTCTTAAAAGGCAATGGTTAAAAATGTTAGTTTTATTTTGCAGACAAACGGGCAACTCTTTGGCTTACAGTTTAGCGAACCATCGACACGGAAAGACCAGCGACCATTCACATTGATATTACTGCTGTATGAGAGTTCTGGGGCACTGGCTGCTGGAATTGTGAAAGAATTGACAGAGTCCACTGTGTCATAACCAGCCTGTAACAGAAAAAAAGAGCATGTAAAACCTCAATCAAATCCTATTCCAAATAAAACCATCTCTTGCTTATAGATAAGGTATGAATTGGGGCATAAGTAAGTCCTTGTTATTCATTTCTGCTAATTGTAAAATGTGTATGGATCTTCACTCCACTCACCAGCCAAACTTGTCCTGTTTCTGCAATATCACCATAGTTGATCAGGATGAAAGAGCGTTCACCATTGGAGACTAAAACCACTTGGAAAGTAACCACCTTCAAAAAACAACAAAAAAACGTTTGACAAATGTAAGAACCGAAAACACATAGAGAGCATTCATGAAAAATCAGAGATTAGTTCTTACCCCTCCACCAGTGATGTACGGCACACTGTCCCAGGTAGCCACAAAGGCTGATGTAGCGGTAAAAGGCACATTAGGGAAATATTGGTTAACAGCTTGAGTGACTTGTGCCAGTACAGCGCTACTTGTATCCTCTCTATAGGAGATAGTTCCACCGTTTACATTGAAAAGGTCGGTCCACAGAGGAGCAATGATGTCTATTCCAGCATTCAGATAAGGAACGAAGGCCGACAGTGGTTGAGTAAAAGTCAGGTGACCATTGTTGTTAACCTAAAATTCAGATCAAATTGCTGTAGAATTATTTGCTACCACT